ACTATACTCAACTGGTTCATCAAACTACAGTTTGTTGTCTATTTATACTCCGAGGTAGTTGACACTTTTCACTTCTTAAATATTTTCATCTTTGACTATCAATTCCAAGTCTGAGAGAGTCATCAACATTTCCCGTTCTAGACATTATCATAACATTTTTCGTTTTCATGTTTAGTTTTTTTTTTTTTTGAAACCCGCCATTGATACAGAGAATTAATATCTTCTTGCATTTTGACAATCGCATTTGGCAGTTCCCAATCACTGATCGTTAGCAAAGAGTTTTATTTTACAATGTTTAAGTGAAGTTTTTATATCGTGTATATATGTATGTATACTTGTATATGAAAGAGTAGCGGTACATCTTCAAAAACGCCCTTATCAACACAAATTTTCAGTTCAGGTAGTGCGTTTTTCATTCAAAATCTGTAGATAGGTCGATCTTCCACTCAGCCGTCGATATGCTGTATTTCTAAATTCACTTTCGAACGACATGCTATCGCTACTAAAAATTTAACTGTTTTTGTTATATTTAATTGATGTTATGTATGCTCTGCATAAATAAATAATTTACTTAGATAATTGTTGTAACTATAATTAACCGATATTTTCCACTTCAGTAGTTTCCTAACTATTAAAATTATTCTATGAAGTAAATAAAAACATACAAAATTGTTTTAGTGTTGTTTTGGATGGTCATCGAAATGCGCTTGAGGACTTTACTATTCATTAGCTATGCGTTCTCGCAGTTCAGAATCATAGTAAGTATGAGTACATTTCGGTTCGGTGTTTTTTTATTTTGAAAAAAAAAAATTAAATTAGGGAGTGCTCAAAGCGCTCAAACTTTTCGTAGAAATAGTGTAGGATTCTTGAAAATCAATATTTTTCGATCGGAGAACTTTGCTTATCTTCAGGAGATTCCCGGTAATAATACCCAATTGTGCCATTAACCATTTTTTCATGGTAACTATATTTTATAGGCCCTCCAAAACTCACAGAAAATGCAATGGGAGGACCAATAAAAATTTTTTAATATTTAAAAAGGGTTCAATAAACAATTGGATATTAATAATGTAGGTCTCCTGAAGAGAACCACAGTTTTCCGACCGAAAAATATTGATTTTCAAGAGTTTTATACCATTTATACGAAAAGTGGTTTTTCCCCATATAGACTTTATTGTTTTTGGACCACTCTAATGTACAAACATACACACATGTATGCACAAATACATATATAAAATTCTTTTTCTTTTTAATAATTAAGCTTACTGATGTAACCATCAACAATCACAAAAGCTACTTCAATCCGGATATATGCAGTCATAGCTACTGTAGTTTTGCGAGTTCGCGGGGCAAAATAAAGTACTCGATCCTCAGCATCGGTTGCTATTTCGCCCGGCAAATAGATGAGGTTTGGGTGAGTTATGAAAATTTATCAAAGATTTTAAAAACAAAATTCAAAGTTTTCATTGTATTTATTTTACTTGCTTAGCTACGCATTGAGCTGTATCGGAAAGTTGCAACAAAATACCAAATCACATCGTTCGGTGCTGTGCGGAACTTTTGCAATTTCTCTCAAGTAAAAACAAATAATTACTTTATGGATTTTCTGCTTAATTTTGGAGAAAAATATATACGTAACATTCGCTGTCCTCTTTCGGTAAAGTTTTCGAATATTAAGCTTAGAACCGAGCTTGTAAGAAAAACGAAAAATTCATATAAAAAGCGCGCAAGAAATCAAACAAAAAAAAGATTCTTCTATAAATATTTCTTAAATCAGTTTGCAGCTCTCAAGAAATAAATGCTCCGAAATAACGAAAAATATTTCTTGGGAGTTATTTTAAGATATGGATTCTAAGCTTTAAACTGTTTAGAGTTTTACATACGCTATATTTTTACTTAAATAAATCTCTTTTACAGGGAAATGTCACCGTAAATAATTTGCCGACAATGCTTCAAATCAGTGCCGCTTTTCTGCCACCAGCTGAATATTTAATGAGTTCGGTTGTAAGTGGGGATAAAAGTATTAAGCTAAAGATAGTGGAATTTAATATTTCATTTACTGTAACAAGAAATAAATTGTTTTAATAAATAGTGTTAAATAAATCAAGTAAAGCAGCGGTTTTTGGTGTTATTGTAGGTCATACAAAACGCGACCTACAACGTGAACTACTCTGCGTGATCCTCCGTCCTAACACCTCAATGTCCTTTCCCAAAATTGGAAATACGTTAAGTATTACGCCAAATAGATGAGCAAGTTTGACACTTCCTCGTCCGGTTCACAGTAACAGTAGACGTTCATGTCTGAAATATTTGTGCTACTGAGGTAGCGAACTGTGCCGTTAAATGCAGAGACCGTAAAAAGCAGTTATTTTTAACCGACTTCCAAAAAGGAGGAGGTTATCAGTTCGTCGGAATTTTTTTTTTTTTTTATGTATGTTACCGCATAACTTTGGACCAGAAAGGTAGTATCTCAGAGGTGGTCCCATACTAATTTGGTTTAGATCCGATCACTTGATCATGAAATATATATATACATATACATATATTTTTTTAAGTAGTTTTTTTGCTAAAAATTACTTGTTTTCCTACAGTTGGCCAGATATTTTTTAAGTTCGAAATAAATCTTTCCGCTTATCCAAATTAAACAAATTCGGTACCAAATGAAAGAGGACTTAAATAGCTTTTAACTAGAAATAACGAACGAAGGCTACCACTGCTATTTATATATATATATATATAGTTTTTTATAATTTAATACAAAAGATATGCATATACCTGAACCAAGGTTTGTTCTATGGTAATTAAAAAACATTTTTTATTTAAATATTTTTCAATAGATAGCTTCCTGCTGGCTATCCTCGTTTAAATTTTTCAGTCCTAAAGCTATTTTAGTCCTCTTTCAGTTGATACCAAACTTGTTTAATTTGGATAAGCGGTTTGTTTATTATTAGGAAAGTTTAGTTGGCCAAGTTTAGCTGTTGAAAAAAGTAACTGTTATTTAAGGTCCCTGGTTAAATGCCTAGTAAGAATTCGGCGATCATATCTGCCTAAACCAGTGATGAGGGACCATTTGGCAAATTTTTTGTTCTTCCATAGACCACCAACTGTTCGGGGGTAATATATAATAGTAAGTTTAAATGATTAAAAGGTTTTTATAATTATAATAAAAACCATAAATATTTATTATTTAATGTTCGATTTTTTGGATGGCTTTGCGGACTACTTCGCTTGTTTGCAGAGTTAAACCCCACTGGCCTAAACCTACATGTTACCTTACGTCCTGTACCAATTGAACTTTTTCTCAAAGTTTCCCGTTTTTAGATTTCTTTGATTTTGGTAAGCACTTTATGCCATTCAAGCAGAATCTGCATTTCACTTCAGAGTGAATTCAAATTGGCAAGGTGTGAAATTCATTCGGAAGTGAATTTAAAAGCATGCCTATATATCTATCTCGATTCCATTAAACTGCCACAAGCAACCGTTATGCGAAAAAAGCTATAATACCCGGTGCGCTTAAGTAAACAGTTTAGCGCGCTCCTGATTATTTATTATTTTTTTCTTCTACTTTAAATTTTTTGGTTTATACTTGTTAAACGTATTGTGTGAGCTCGAAATATGAAAACAAAAACTCATTACAGAGCGGTTGGAGATTTTATAGATTGATTTATTTATGTATATCCAGGTATTCACAAAATGCATGACAAATACGAAAGAGGCGACGTCTATCATCGATTTAGTATTCGGCTGTATTCAACGCTTGGCTGAAGTTACCTTAACGGAGAGATTCAATTGTAATATTGATTCAACGCCCCTGAAAACTTTGGCAAATAATTTATAATCCGCATCGGGAAGCAGGCCCTGCACGAGAAAAATCATCAGCGGCATTCGTGTTATGGTAACGTTGCCCTGTTGGAAGGCAAATAAATGTGCAATATAAAATGCATATATGTATGTATGTGTATATAGTTGGCAGCATTATTCCCACCTGTAACGGACACTTCAAGCGGCTCAAGCTTTTCATACTCAAACCCATGAGATTATTGATAATTCCATTTGCACCTTTTACGTCCCCCAATTTGCATAGACTCGTTTCCACTTTCAAATTCATATTCGTGTAGGTGCCCTCCTTGGTTCTACGTAGAATTTCAACACTGATCTACATACATACATACATATATGCAAGTTTATAAATAAGCTTCATTTTACACAGCCTAAATGTTAAATGTTACCAATGCGGACGCTAATGGCTGAATAAAGTTACAGCCAGTGCTGAGGTATTTAGATTTTCCACGTCCCTTCGATAGAAAACAATACGTTGGAGCACAGTATTTCTCATTGAAATAACATTCGACGCCTGTGGGCGTCACAGTCAAGTACTTGAAAAGAGGCCAAAAATTAATGTTATCAAAATTATTTATATTGTCTATGTACATATGTATGTATGTATCTTCTGCATAATTACCGCCTTTCCTAAAAATACAATGATTACAAATAAAATTTGTTGCGTTTGCAACGACTTCATTCCGAAACGTTTGTTGGCGGTCTGTTTATGAAATATTTTTTAAGTGAAACGTACAATTAAATTCTTACCAAAACAAATATGTATTAAAGTTGGCTGAATCTCATATTATCAGACATATTTAGTTTAATTGAGCTGAAATTATAAATTATTTAATTTTACCTATTTAATGGTTATTTCTACACGATTTATGTATACAGTTGAGTTCACTATTTGGTACACAATTAAATACAGTGGTGTGCTTCGATATTTTACCGTGTAGCTTTTTGGTCATATTCGCAAACAAAAATCGTGGCTGATTACAGATACCTTAGGATTTCGTAAAACTTTAAATCCCAAGCCAGACCTTTTTATTTATTTGGATATACTTTCTTTAGCCGGATATATCGTACTTTAAAGCTTAACAAAGCTCCATGCAATGGCAAGGTGGTTCCCATATCCAATTCAAGTTAGTGTTTACATAGAGCTTTAAAAAGCTGTAGTTTTAAGCTGCCTACATACATTCGTCTTGGCAAACGATGGATTTTCAAAGCTCTCTATAGATTTCATATCATTAACGACTAAAAGAGCTTTTATTCTATGCGCTTCCACACAGAACCTAAAGAAAACTTTAAAAAATTCCTTCCGTGGGATATATGTACATATGTAATTTCGGACGTGACTCTTTAAATTGAGCGCGCAAACAAAAGCTATCTAAGGCCAACAACGCTGATTTAAAATGTAGGTACATGTAAAATAAATATAAAAATTGTTTGGCGCTTATATTTTTGCTGAGTGTTAGCACGAGTAACATCTCCAATTTATGGTGGAATTTATGTTGCACTAATCTACGATTGAAACTAGGTTCTACTCAGTGTTAGTATCAACCCTTAACCACTCAGATATAACGGCCGCCATAAATGTGTGGCGTGCATGGTTTTTCCTTTAATCACTTTGAATCGGCGATGAGCATCGCCTTGCCCGCGGCCAAAGCTCTTTTAAGCTTTCTATACATTTTGTATAGTCGCGAGCAGAGTAAAAGCTCTCCCTGCCCATTGCTGCTATGAATCATTGTTGCCCAGAGGAAGATTTTACCTTGCACCTGTCCATTAAATAAAGTGTCGATCAAAGAGAGTTTTTATTCTGTATAGAAAGTTTGGAAAATATTCACAATGTTTTAAAAGCACAGAAAAGCTCTGCACGTGTGCATTTGCAGTAGAATCGACCAGAAAGCTATCTTTATACTAGGAAATTACGTCTGTGAATTCATATACTGACGACCTCAAGGCGGAAAAAATAAGGAGCTTTCTCTTTCCCATGCAGAGAGTGATTTAAACACGCTTTTTATAATGGAGATATTTCCAATACTCATTGTTGAAACTAGATGTATAGAAGCAGGGGAAGGCAGCAGCGGCAGCAAAGGCTTTTTTTATTTTTTACTATTTTGCCAAAAAAAAGTATCCTAACTTTCAGAATACATTTCCATACATTTGAGCTGATAGGTTAACTTAAACTTTTGAAATAGAGACCTTTTTAGGCTGTGAACTCTGGGAACAATATCGGAAGCTGTTGCGAGCTTAATTTTAAAATGTATTTTACCAGAAACAATACATCTGGCCAAAAGCGGAAAAAGGTTAGTAAACAGGATCTCTATTTGTCTTTGCTCGAAAAAAACTGTCCCACGATAGACCGGCCTTGCCAGCGTATCATTGACCAATACCATCCTATGTACTTATTTAAGCAAAAGCCTACTATGTGTTTGCTGCATAAAGTGAATCAGTGCATTGCTGTGATTTTGAAACCCCAACACCAATTTGGTTTGCGTTTTCCTGGAGACCTGCCTCTTCAACCCACCCACACATCTTCGAGCTGTCCGCGAATAGGTTCACTAAAGCATTGCCTGTTTTGAGAAGATAGGGAACGAAAATTTCTGTGTGTTGATTGATTTTAAAGGAAATAAGAATTGATTATTTGAACAAATATTGTTATAACAACATATTTCAAAAAATTACCCTCGATTTTACAGCTTTTCTCACTCTCAAGGATTGTTGCACAATTGCCGCTAAAGATTATTAACACATTCCTATTCACTTCATTCACCTCCATGTATTTTGTTATCTAATTGCAGCAAAAACACTTAATTCAACATTTAATTAAACAACGAATTTAATAGCCGTCCAAGGCGCCAACCAACAACAGCCTTGAATGACGCCGCGTCGACGCCAGCAGCATAAATAGACGGACTGACACCATGCTTTGGTTGGTTGGTAAGTTGAACAAAAATGGCAATAAATACTCGCCAAAGTAAGTTGCCAACATATGTACATACATATGTATGGATGTAAGTATGCATGTATGTATGTACCACATGTATGGATGGATGGATGGATGGATGGATGGCTTGTTGTTTAAATAAGGTGTTACTTTGGTCACGGCTGCTGTGTCAACATATGACGTTTCGCTTGCACTTGATCGCATGGACAGCATAAATTAATGTAATACCAACCCTGCAGGAAATGGGACTAGTTTGTAGCTGTAACTATTAACTAACTAGCAGGCGACTAGTGGTAACTATTTCCTTTGGCCGTAACTAACTACTTTTGCAGGGCGACGGCCGCAAAATAGTGAGATCTGGTTACGTCTGCATTAGATGTCAGCTGACTTTTAGCTAACCATTTTTG